TTGATAGCTCAGACCGCGGGGTCAGCCCAGCGTTTGTTGTGTTGGCTTATATGGAGTGGTCGACCGGCGGACTGAGAGGCAGGCTGCACTAGGGCCTTCTTAATGTGGCCTTCATGTCATCCACTGAGTTGAGATCCAAGCTGCCGCAACTTTGCCGTGTTCGGTTCTTTGGTGTGGCTCGCGGTGCGTAGGCCTGTGCTCCCTCCCATCTCCGGTCTTCTTGACTGTCTTTTTACACTGGACTAAGGTTGGGGGCTTGGAACTGAAAGTGAGTTTGCTGTAGCGTAAGTGTACTCTCAGTCGCAAGTAACCGTTGCTGCACCACCCTGTTGTGGTAAATATGGTGGACCCCGTCGTAACCGAAGATTGAGCTGTCACACTGAATCCCTGCGCAGTACAGGAATATGTTTCATTCCACCGCCAGTTCAAATTGAACTAAACGCTTCATAACGCCTCCTTTCGTTAATGACTTATTGATTTCCGTCGCCTGCTGTCTCATGTATCTTCTCAAAATCCCAAAACCATCCCTGTATGCCTTCTGCACGCAGCAACCAGGAAGGCTATTATTTTCTCTCTAATTACTGCGACTAACTGCTGCTTAAACCGTTACTAGGAGAACGAGCCGGGGTACAATGCCCAACGCAGCTCCCTGCAGCCAGGTTCGATCCTTTCTTTATTCTCAAAAACATTTCCCTTGGCATTGTGCCAACTACTAACGGCTTCATCTCTACCCTTAGATATCTGCACAGGACACTGTGACGAACGTGCACTGATTCTCTACCTTGCCTGTCTTCGCGACGCTGTTTCTCGGCACCGCACTTTGACTCGAGTGAAGGTAAGTGTTGCGCGCGCGCGCGGCAGGAAAACAGCTATTCATCAAGAGTTGCACAACAAGAGCGCTTACGCCTCTTCCCCCCCCATCGCGTACCTTGTTTATTTTATAGAGGCGTCTGGAGGCCCTAGTTGCCTGTGCGGAACTGTGCAAGGAGTACCGAGAGGGCAGTCGGCGTTTTGAGGATTGGATTAAAAAAGAGATCAACCGGCTGACACCCAATCCGCCACCCGACATTCAAACACTGATATCTGCCAGGGCTGAACTTCGGCGACTGCAGGACTTTCAGTTAGAAGAAAAGCCCATCAGGTAGGGTGTGTGATTTACTCTCTTATGTGGCTAGGTGTCAGTTTGCTTTGCTTTTTTTCCTTCAAATTTAAGGCCCCGATGCCCTACAACATGAAAACTTCCTAATTCATCTCGGGACTTTTAGGGAACAGGAAGTGAGACGGCTGTTGGAGCTGCTGTGTCTACTGTCTGCCAAGACCGACGGAGAGGGTGAATGTTTCCTGACTGATTATGATCGGTCCTTTCCTGCACGCAGTGAAGAGGCCCTTCGGCAGTTGGAGAACGCCCTGTCACACCGAAAAGTCTGCTTGTTAGAGTTCTTGAAACGGTTTGTTTGGTAGATGCTTCAGCGTTGGCAGACTTCGCGTTTCGTTGATGTTTCATTAAAAATAATTTTTTCTCCGTATTTAGATTCGATGGGGTACAAGCTGAAATCGAGGGACTCAAACGGCGTACTATCTGCCTCACGAGTTGGTTAGAGAAGATGCAGGGCACTGTCAACCATCTCTGTGAAACAAAGAGCGTTTCAAATGTTATTTTTTTTAATAACCTCAGGAACCAGTTCGAATACCATGTATGTTTGTCCATCTTCGACACTCCCTCCCTCCCTCCATTTCTTTCTTTCTCTTTCTATCTCTCGCTCTTCAGATGGCGTTTTAAGTCGTTTTTGTATTCCGTTGCGATTACAGTGCTTCTTTGTCTTTCTCTACACCCAGAACCGCACTGAGGTGAGAGTTTTTTAAGCCTCACTTAACTTCCCTCTTTTGAAGGCGGGAAAGTTTACCGACCTGACCCGAGCTTATGAACGTTTGCGGACGCTGTCGCCAAATTCTACGGAACTCGACAACGTAATGAGGAGTATCGCTCTTCTGCATACACGCTGGCATAAGTTACGTGGGGAAGCTCTCCAGCGCCTTGAAGAGGCAAACAGCTGCCGGTGGGCGAATGAGTTGGAATCTATTCGCCAGGATCTGTGTACATTCGAGGTGTGTATATTTGTGTTAATATCGTTTGAATTTCCTAGATTGCCTGCTTGTTCATTCATCAGAATAGACGCAGCTGAGGTCAGAATTTACGTCAGGAAGCAATCGTAATAACTTGCGTATTCTTTGCAGTTCTATCTTAATGAACACAAAGTACGATAGTTAACAGAGCGCGAGTAGAAATCAAAAAAAGTTGAAATCGGTTAATGTCTATGCCGGAATGAAGAGCACATCTTTAAAAAATCTGATTACTAACAAGCACTTAGTAACTAATAAAACAAGAATACAACACTTGCGTGCTTAATGTCACAATGAGTTCGTTTTACGCAGTCATCGTGTTGGCATTACTTGATAGGGGTGTTTGTGGCTTTCTCTCTTGAGCGTTCTCTTATTTTTATTTTTTTCTCTTTTAGATTGAGTTTCGCCCTGCAGCTGTCCAGGAACGATTGAAACTGGCTAGCAGTGCGGATGCTGCTAACAGCCAGCCTTTCTGCGAGGACTGTCTTATGTCTTGCCGAATGGCGACTAATCGGTTAAAGAGTATTCGCTATAGCAGTAAATACTGCCATTCCGGATTACCTGATTCGAATGCAGATGTACCCGCAGGTGTGTGCATAGGGTTTTTTAAACAAATCTCCCTACCAGTCACATACACACACGCATATACTTATCCTATAGATTAGGGGGCTAGAGGTACTTAAATGATTTTCCAGTTTTAAAATCCGCTCTCAGTCCCCCAGGCCTTTGCTACTGGACTTGCGTCTGTGTGACAATACCGGCTTACTGGTCATTCTAGCTTCGGCCGTTGCGCAGGTATACACATTGTTCGCTGAACTCAGTGACTATGATTTAATTGAGTAGTGTGGATGAAACAGTGTGTTCTTTCGAATTCTAGCGCCTTTC